TCTAACTATCTACCTACTTATGAATTACCTAACAACAATTAGACAAACTAAGTAATAAATTGTAGTTGTGGTTCTAATAGAAAGTTAACTTGAAAATATGTTGTATTTTGATGATCTATCTTTCTGAGGCTCGAAAATAGAATCAACCTAACAAACCCTAGAAAATAGGATCAACTCTAACAAACCCTAACAAACTAATAACAAACTATTAAATTTATCTCTAATACTCCCCCTAAAGTTGGAGGGTGAGGATTATGAACACCCAACATGAACATGAGGTATTGAAAAACTTTCACGCCTAAGGACTTAGTAAAAATGTCAGCATTTTTTTGTTTGGTGGGAAGGTAAGTTGTACTTATGGCACCTGACTACATATGTTCCCTAATAAAATGATATTCAATTTCATTGTGCTTTGTTCTTTCATAGAAAACCAGGTTTGCAGCTAAATGAATAGTTGTTTGATTGCACAATGCAGAAGTGTGGGTTTGATGCATGGAACTTGCATAGTCTCTAACAAATTATGTAGCCATAATATTTCATTTGTGGCATGTGCCATTGCACAATATTTTCAGCCTCATTTGAGGATCAAGAGCCTGTGGCTTATTTCTTTGTTTTCCATGATATTGGAGCATTTCCAAGTTTCATTAGATAACCTGATATACACTTCCTGGTAATGGGACACAATGCCCAATTTAAGTCACTGTAGCCAACTAGTTGTAGATCATTATGTTGTGAAAGAATGATACCTAGACTAGGAGAAGATTTGAGATACTGTAAGACTCGCATAGCAACATTCCAATGGTCTTTGAGTGGAGTTTGCATAAATTGGCTTAAAATATGAACTGAGTAGGTTAATCCAAGCCTATTGATAGTTAAGTAAATCAGGCGTCCAACTAATCTCATATACCTTGACGGTTCTAAGAGTGGAGGTTCATTGGCCAAGGCAAGTTTGTGATTTTGTTCCATTTGAAGCAAAGAAGGCTTACAACCAAGCATTCTATATTCTTGTAGAATGTCTAAGGTGTATTTTTTTAACAAAGGAATATCCCTTCTGACCTCTGTGCTAGTTTCAGGCCTATGAATTATTTAAGTGAACCAAGATCCTTCATGTGGAAACATTTACTGAGATATTGCTTAAACTGATCACATGCCTTAAGGTCATTAATAGAAATGATCAATTCATTAATATAGATCAAAACAACAAGAAAATTTGATATATGTGAATAAGTAAATAGACTATGATCAAACTGGTTGTCTTGGAAACCATATTTTATCAAAGATTGAGACAGTTTGTTATACCAATTTGTAGATGCTTGTTTCAAGCCATACAATGGCTTCTTTAATATACATACAAAATCTTTGTAAGGAACTTTATATCCTTGTGGAGGACTTATATATACTTCTTTCGTTAATTCTCCATGTGAGAAGGCATTGTTGCACCCGTTTGATGTAATTTCCATCCTTTCACCACTACAACTGTTAACAAGTATCTGACTATGGTCATTTTTCCCAATGGTGCAAAAGTTTCATTTAAGTCCCCACCTTCTATTTGTGTGTAACCTTTAGCAACTAATTTGGCCTTGTACTTTTCTATCTCACATGTAGCTTTATGTTTAATTTTCTACACCCATCTACATCCTATCAATTTTCTTCCCTATGGTAAATGAGTTGGTTTCCTGTCTCACTGTCTTCTAGAGCCTTGATTTCTTGAGCCATGGCCTCCCTCTAAACTATGTGCTTGACTGCTTGGGTATATAATTGAGGTTCTTCGTCATTAGTGACAGCTGCAAGGTAAGCTCTATGTTATTGGGAAAACTTGTCATATTTTAAAAATTTTGAGATGGGAAATGTGATACCTAAAGAGGATTCTGGAATTGATTCCATGAACTTGGGGTTTATGTTTAATTTTTCACAATCATAGTCTTTCAGATAATTTGGAGGTTGTCTTATGCATGGCATGTTCTGAGACTCCCCCTCATTTGAGATTTTTACTTCACTTTAACTTGATAATTCTTTTTGAGAATCATTGGTGACTTCCTCATTCATTTCATCTATGGATACATGTTCTTGCTCTATAGGCTCACTCTCAGTTTGACTTGTGTATTCAAGCTCCTTATTGGGTAAACTTTCTATAGAACTTGATGTTTGGCCATTATGAGGAATTTCCTCAAGGTTTGATACTTCTAATTCTACATTGTTATAGAGTGAAGACTCATCATTGAAGTTATCACTTGATGAGTTACTTCTAAAATTAGTAAACCCATTATTATCTTGCACATGGTAAGGAAAGATATGCTCATAAAACATTACACCTCTCGATATGCAGCATTCACAAATCTTTAGATTGTAAACTTTCCATCCTTTTTTTCCTCGTGGATAACAAATAAAAACACTTCTTTCAGCTCTGGGATCACATTTGCTGATTCCTTTTGAGTCATTTTTCTGGTAGCACAAGCACCCAAAAGCTCTCAAGTGCTCATAGTTTGGTGTTTCCTTAAAAAGTAACTCGTATGAAGTGGTTCCCTCATTTGCCACTGTAGGGGTTTTATTGATTATATACGATGTTTTCAATACACAATCTCCCCAAAAATGTAATTGGATATTTGCTTGAAAAGGCAAGGCTCGTGCTATGTTCAAAATTTATCTACGATTGCGTTCCACACGTCCATTCTGTTGAGGTATGGCAACATAAGAAGTTTCATGCATGATCCCTTCTTTTTGAGTGAAGCACTTGAAATTAGAGTTAGTGAACTCTATCCCATCCTCACTCGTAATCCTCTTGATATGCATATTAAGCTACCTTTTGATTAGATTTATAAAACTAATCAAATATTGTAAATCTTGTGTCTTGTGTTTCATTAAATATACTCGTGTTCCATGAGTGTAGTCATCTATAATGGTTAGAAAGTAATGTGATCCATTATTTAGGGTAGTATGGTATTTCCCTCATAAGTCACAATGAGTCAACTTAAAAGGCATTTCAGCTTTATTAATACTTAAAAGGAAATGGTTTCTACATTGCTTTGCCTTGTGGCATACATCATAATATTTTTCTCTATCAAAATTACATTTGACTAAATGTGACATATGCTAAAGAACTTGACTTGAGGAATGTCCCATTCTGATTTGCCATAAGGTTTCCATGTCCTTCTTAGGTGCATTCATGAAGCTTTATTGTTGTTGCTTTGTGAACACATAAACCCCTTCATGCAGGTCACGTGATCCAATCTTCCTCTTCGAGGCTTGGTCATTTATTGTGCAAGAATTTTGATCATAAATGATATAACAATTTAAATTATATGTTAGTTTATGACTTGAAATCAAATTGCATTTAAAATCAAGAACCAAAAACACATCTTTCAACATAAGGTAACTTGATAAATTCACATCTCCCATATTTTCAACTAAGGTTGAAATCCCTGTTGGTGTAGTTATGTAGAAAGGTTTATCTAATTTTCTGATTTTCTTTAATATTGAGGTCAAAGGAGTCACGTGGTAGGAAACACCAATATCAAGTATCCAATTGAAACAATATTCAAATTTACCAATCATGTTTTCATGTGCATTTGAATAATTTTTGGCACGAACTCCATGTAGGGTGTGTCCTGATGTTGATGCTTCTGGATATTCTTTTCACTCAGCGGCCTAAGTAAAAAATTTTACTTATTGCCCTCTTGATTTTTTAGGTTCTCGCCTTTGAGTTCTTCGTGATTCCAAATTTGCTGGATATCTAAAAATCTCAAAGAATTTTTCCTTGACTTGTCTAATTTTGCCGTAGTTATCACATTTTAATCTTGAGGGATATTCCTTTCCTTTCTTCCTATATGCACATGAGTAAAACGTTGATGCATTTTCCACCTTCGAATCTCTTTCCTTATTTATTGCAAAACAAGGTTCTCCTATTTGCATTTGATTAAAGACAAGCCTAAGAGAAGATAGTGGATTAGTATTAAGTATGGTTTCATTGATATGATATTATTATTCATTATTAAAGCCTCCAAGAAAAATATGGATTCACTGTTCTTCTACCCTTTGTGTCAATACTTTATCAGCTTCGCAACTGCATTCAAGTAGAGTTTGCAATTCACTCAATTCATCAACGAGACTTTTTATTCGATTGTAGAAATATATACTCTTGTTTCTACATTAAACACTAGTTTCTCCACAGTTGATGGATTCACGGTGCATTGGTCTTACCAAAGCATTCATCAAGATCCACCAACACATCTCGAGCCGTTGAAACATTTGAGATGGTTTTGTGTAAATTTGGTTTTGTCGTATTGATCAACCAAGTTTTCACCATTGAATCCACCTTATCTCAGTCATGGTACACTTTAGATTGGCTTGATAGTTTGTTGATGCTTCCATGAATGAAACCCAGTTTCGTCTTCGCACGCAAAGTCGTCTTCATCGATCTTGCCCAATTTTCTCCATTTAGAAATATTGTCACGAGTGGAGTTCTAGGATTATTAGAGTTGTTTAGATGATAAACTTTTGTATTTTTTGTTGTGTTCTTTGTTTCAGATATGGAGGTATTTTTCTTCTCCAATATGTTTCCCAAATTGGAACCGTGCTCGGATGTCATAGTAAAAAGTTAACTTGAAAATAAGTTCTATTTTGATTGTTATCGATGATACATGACATGTCTTTATATAGCTTGATGATCTATCTTTCTAAGGCTTGAAAATATGATCAACCCTAACAAACCCTAGAAAATAGGATCAACCCTAACAAACTAATAACAAACTATTAAATCTGAACAAATCCTAAAAAATTAATAACAAATTATTAAATTTATTTCTAATAAGTTTAAATTTATATATAACCATATGTTAACGGAGTTGAATGATATTTAACAATTGTTGTTTAAACATATTTTTTTATTATGTTGGCTAAATGGTGATCATTGATCTAATATTTTTAAACACTGCATACAACGCACTTATCTTCCACCAATTATAAAACTTATTTCATTTTTTTACTTTTCCATTTATATACAGACTTGGATTATCAAAGATTATCCTGAAGAGTTATTAGTAACAACCATTTGTTGTAGTATGGTGGTAATCCAATCTGCAATTGTAGCTTTCATTGCAGACAGAAATTCTAAAGTTTGGATATTGAAACCTGATAAGAAGTTGGTATCTATATGTTATTCAGTAAGTATACATTTTTTTGTTCTAAAAAAAATTTTAAAAAAAAAAGAAGAAGCAAGTGATTACTTGTTTACATATAATGTTTTTGGTTTTGTTTTGTGGTTGTTTCATTTTTAGGCCGTTTTTGTGGTTTCAATGAGGAGTGTTGTATACACATGGGCGTTTCGTAAGAAAGGACCAATATATGTAGCCATGTTCAATCCTTTGGGAATGATCATTGCACTTGCCATGGGGGTAATATTTTTGGGAGACAATCTTTATCTTGGAAGGTAAATAAATATATCTAATTAAAGAACAACAAATATATGAAAAATGATTTAAATAATGTATTAATTGAAGATTGGTCTTTCTATTTAAAAATTGGTTTTTCTTATTTATGCAGTATGATTGGAGCTGCTATAATAGCCATTGGATTTTATGCTGTAATGTGGGCACAAGCTCAAGAGGAACACAAAACATGCCAAGATAATATTTTCACATCTTCTTTGGCCCCTCTTTTGTCAGATTGATTTTATAATAAGTGTAATAGCTATTGTTTCATTAAATAAAACGATAAAAAATTATTTTAATGATATTGTATTCAACTTACTTATTACAATTAATCACAAACTGTTATATTGTGCTTTTTTAAATAATTTTTTATACTAACTATCAGAAATTTTGTCTCAACATCGATATGAAATGTAGAAAAATCGTCGCGATATAGAGACAAAATTTAAAAATTTTGTCACCATATTAGAACAAAATGAAATATGAGTAGTTAAATAAATATTCACATTTCTTCTCTGATTATGTATTGAACAAACGATATACATTAAAATTTCGTTCTTAGAAATTTATGTCAGGCTAATTGCGATGAAATTATTTTGTCGTGAATTTTTTTCCATATTTTAATAGAATATAAATTTTATTGTTGTGCAATTTCTTTCCATCTCATGTGATTTTGTTTTCTTGTACTGTGTATATGCAACTTGATTTACCTCTCTGCAAATATGGCCCCGCATGATCATGTCCTCCTTGTTATAGATCCTATGAATATTATTAACCAATTTAAAGGATTGGTGCTCCTTTGGGAAAACGATTTATTTATTTTTACAGAAAAGACGAAATATGAAGAGGTGAGGAAAACACGTGAAATTACAGTGGTTAACTTATTTAAGATGAATGTAAGTAAATGAATAGTTAAGACGTAAGGAGACACTAGCACAATAGTTTAGCATAGTTCACCTCCAACCTAATAGCTATTGCTAGAACAAATATTTCGAAAAGTGATGAAAGTCGGAGAAGAAGAAGAGAGAAAATTGAATTATAAAATTAGAATTGAGTGAAGTTCTATGTTTACATCATACAAGACTCTTTATATAGACAATTAAAGTCCAAGTCCAAACTATACAAACTGGTCCAAACCCAAAACGTACAAAATGTGAAGTACAAAATTACAAGTTACATTTCTACATTGTTATATGTTGTATTCGACTCTGTCAAATACAGTTGAATATAACAACTTCGACTAGCTACTTTGACCTAATCGAATGCTAGATCTAAAACAAAACATCAAATTACAACTTCTAACACCCCCTAATTCGTGTTCTCGATATTTCTTATCCTAATGCTTCTCTTCAACTCGTCGAACCTGACTTTCTTCAAGGGTTTCTTCGAGCAACATCTCTATCCATGTTGCATATGATCCAGACACATACACATCTTCTCACGATGACAAAGGCATAATGCTTTTCTTCCTTGAGATCCATGAGGTTAAAGCGTCTTCGATTATGAATATGTATCTTATCATACTCTTCTTTTCGTCTTGACCTGCACTAGAATATGAATTAGTGTAGCCATATACGTTTGCATTTGTACTGCTCTTTGTATACCTTATCATCAACATACCATTATCAATCGTACCCTTTATTTATCTCAACACCCTCTTAATTGCAGTGAGATGACATTATTGGGGTTTCTCCATGAATCTACCTAACAATCCAACACTTTGGCAAATATTTGGCATGGTATTGCCAAGATACCTCAAGAATCCAACGATTTGCCCGTACAGTGTCGCACTTACAAACTCATCATTTGTCTCCTTCCTCAACTTTGCTCCAGTTTCTAATGGCGTAGCAGCTGCATTACAGTTGCCCATCTTGATCCTCTTTAAGATATCTTGGGCATACTTCTTTTGGTGTAGGAAGACTCCCTCACACGCGTCTTTGAACTTCATCCCTAAGAAATATGACAAATTCCCTAGGTCGGACACTTCAAACTCTTGCATCAACTTCGACTTGAATTTTTTTATCTCGACTTCATCTGCACCTGTAATCAACAAATCATCTACATACATGCATATGATGATTCGATATAACTCTGTCTACATCATTGACATATAATCCATGTTCAGAGACACACTTTGCGAATCCTGCTTCGATCAAAAAGCCATCTATTCTCTTAATCCAAGCTCTTCGATATTGCTTCAAACCATAAAAAGCTTTCCTCAATCTGTACACCTTTGACTCCTGCCATTTGTTTTCAATTCCTGGTGGTTTATTGACATAGATTTCTTCTTCTAGAGGTCCATTCCGAAATGTTGATTTTACATCCTACTGATGTATCTTCCACCCTCTGTATGGTACTCTCGACAATATAATTTTGATTGTTTCCAGCCTTGGAACGAGTGCGTAGACTTCATTGAAATCAATACCAGGTTTTTGTAGAAAACCTCTCGTCACTAGTCTTGCCTTATACTTGGAAATTTCTCCATTCGGCCTTCGTTTCATCTTGCAAACCCACTTCACTTTAATTGACTTCTTGTCTGACTTTTTGAAAAGCTCCCAGGCCTTATTCTTCTCAATTGATCTGAGTTCTTCTTTCATGGCTGCTAACCAATTCAAATCATTCATGACTTGATCCATGTTGATTGGTTTTGCTTCATCCATTATCATTACTTCTTCTATTAAGTCATTATCTGCATGACTTCTTGATTTGGAAATATATCATATCTAACTAGCCTTGTCGACTCAGTTCTTGTTCTAGTGGATCTTGTTACATTTTTCTCAAGTTGTTCCTCATTTCAATTTGTTGGGACTAATGTTTGTTGTTGTTCCTCAAACACAGTTTTAACTGTATATGAATCTTGTCAAACTGACGCATGACCCCAATCCCACCCTTTGATTTCATCCAGTATGACATCTCGGTTGATCACTAATTAATCATTATTTGGTGAATGCAACTTGTATGCATCAGTCGAATGATACTTATGGGCACCATAGTTTGACTTTGATCATCTAGTTTCTTTCTCAACTGTTCAGGTACATGCCTGAAGCACATTAATGCAAACACTCTAAGATGACTAAAATTCGGCTTCACACTTGTCTAAGCCTCATAAGGAGTCTTCTCGACCATCTTCTTGATTGGACATCTATTTAGAATGTATATTGCTATCAAAATTGTTTCAGCCAAAAATCTCTTTGGCATATCTTTAGCTTTTAACAAGCTTCTAGTCATGTTCAGTATAATTCGATTCTTTCTCTCATCTATGTCATTATGCTGAGGTGTATAAGGTGCAATGACCACATGCTCTATACCTTCCTCATTAAAAAATCTAGCAAATTCTTGCGAGGTCTATTCACCACCACCATCAGTTCTCAATTTCTTCAACTTGCATTCACTTTGCTCTTCAATATTCAATTTGAACTTCTTGAACTGTGTGAATACCTCATTTTCCTTTCAATAAGATAAATTCACATATATCTAGTGAATTCATCTATAAAGGTTAGGAAGTAGTAGTTACGTCCACTGGACATCACTCAAATGGTCCACAAACATCATAGTGAACTAACTCTAGATTTTCCTTGGACCTCATTGGCAAGTCATGCTTGAACGCTTTCCTAGCCTGCTTTGCTTTGCAACATTCCTCACACACATGACTTGGTTATTTCACCTGAGGTAAGCCATAAACCATCTTCTTCTGGTTGAGCATACTTAAATTTATGAAGTTTAGATGTCCATACCTCTGATGCCATAGCCAGTTCTTGTCTTCATCTGCAGTCAAACCAAGACACTTGTGATCAACTAGGTTGATCTCTACTTTGAAAGTCCTGTTGTCTGCCAAGGGCGGCTTTACAATCAACCTTCCTTCACTATGGTACACCTTTACATGATTCTTTTCTATCTTCTTGTCGTACCCTTTTGCTTGTAATTGAGTTACACTTATCAAGTTACTTGTCATTGATGATACATACAACACATGAGTGATGCTGGCCTTTTGACCATCCTTCCTGACAACATAAATATCTCATTTTCCACCTGATGTGATGTGTCTACCATCTGAAAAATTTATCATTTCTCAACTGAATCATCTAGCATGATGAACTAGGTTTTATTTCTAGTCATGTGGTTACTGCATCCTGAATCCAAGTACCACATATTTATTTGCTTAGTATTCGACTGAGTATTGGCCATGAGTAGCACATCATCAAAATCAATATCTTCAGCATGTGCATATTACACTTCATCACTATCTTTAACTCTTGCTTCCTTCTTTCTTCGACAGTCTCGAGCATAGTGACAAAATCCTTGGCAGTTGTAACACTACATCTCCTTCATGTCAACTTTCTTCCCAAAATACTTGTTTCTCATGCCTTTCTTGATTGAATTAGATTGATTCTTTGAATTCTTGCTTGATTTCTCATCATTAGCATGATTTTTTTCCATTCTTTTTCCCAAATTTCTTAATGATTATTGCTTGTAGTGCCTCTTCAGCCACCTTCTAACTTCATCTCAACAAGGTTCTTGTAGTGTTCAATTGACACTACAATGTAATCAAACTTTGCAGTCATAGATCTTAGTCAAATGCTTCCTTCTAACTTCATCTCAACAAGGTTCTTATAGTGTTACAACTGACTACTACGACTTCAATTAACTACTTCGACTTAGTTAAATGCTACCTCTTAATTAGAACATCGAGTTATAATTTCTAATAGCTATGTCTAATAGTTTGAACACTTTGTATAATTTTCTACTATAATCAATCTGATTTTAACTATTAGCACTACAAAATTACTTTTAGTGACAATAAATAAAATTGTATGTATAGATACCTACTAAAACTTAATTGGCTATACAATATCAACTCACTTAGTTCCGTTGTAAAAGACTCCATATATATATAAAAAATAAATTTATATAAAAAACATTTTAAGATTAAATGTTCATATTACTTTATGTTTTGTCAATAAAAATAACATTAAATGATAAATATTTTCTCACAATTGTATATGTGAGTTTCTACCATTTAGACTATATAAAAAGTAAATAAATATTTTATTTTAAGAAGTTACATATATTCTATGAGAAAATATAGCTAAACATTTCATAAAGAAAAGTACTTTTGCAAAAACGATTAGAGCAACTTTAATGCAGGATTGTTAAACCAAAATTCTTTATAGCTTACGTTAGTAACAAAGAATTTGCATTATAGTAGTGCTGACATGGCATATGGAATGCTCTAAAACTA